GGCGAGCTCTTGGACTAGTGAGTCACTGAGACCCGACCCTATGGCCAACACATGAATTCCAGCTTCTGACAATTCACGACCTAGCACGACCACTTAGTAATGTCTTTGATGAGTCAATGTCCTCACCGTCGACCTGACTTCACACTGAATCTTCAGGTAAAAAACTAGCCTGAGTGGACCAGTTGCTAGTGAGCGTCTCATCCATATTCAAGTATTTATTTGTAGGTATTTGATTGATTGGTTGTGCAGAAGTTGTAATTCAAAGGTTGGCCTTAGAGCAGGGTCTCAGTGACTTAATGGTCTACCAGCTCACCATGTAACCGGGATATCCTGGGTTTGAATCCTGGAACTGAGTCGATGTGTACTGCTGATCAGTTCCAAGCTAGGTTGACGAAACATCTGTCCGGAAGTACTCTCTGGTGGTTTTCCAATGGTCCTGTAACCGATGTGAGCTAATGATGAAATCCTGCACTCCGATCATAATACTAATATTAAGAATACAAAGAAATAGAACCCATGGTGATTGGTGGCGGTTGGCTTTGGAATCTACGTCCTGCGTTTCATCATATTCGAGACTCTCCAGCTGAATTTACCTGAAACCCAAGTGATTGATGATGTCCCTTTGAAAGTCGAACCGATTTTTCATCATTTCAAACTTAAATCGCAGTAGCTGATATGACAACAAAAACCAAGAATTTCAGTTCTACGCGATCATTCAGTGGGACATTTAAAGTGATAATAAGAAGTAATCATGAGGGTTCTGTTTGGCCAGTGAGACACAATTACTGCAATTGTAAAGACGTTTGCAGCAACTGCTATCCGGCAATAAAATTCACTTTTGAATTAGAAAACAAATCCCAAATGCCCTTTCCTGACGTGAAACAAACAAGAAGACCCAAGGAAACCTCAAGAAGGCCAGTTCATAAGAAACCCACCTAAAATGGTAAACTAATGAGTTTCTACAGTCAGGTGCCTGTTGAATAGTAGTCTCTCAGTTTAAGTCTGTGTGACTATATAAACTCTGTCTTTAACCAATAAATTAATAAACATACAGAAATTTGAAAATCAATTTTCGCATTCTCATTGATCCCATCAAGCACCTGTCGACTTACGATGAGTTTTCCTGTTGTGTTGTCTGCTTTCATGCTTGATGGTGGCCTGATTGAATCACTTCGCCTCGTAGACTTTCGATCCAGTATAAAGCATTAACTCTTCTCCATATCTTACTGTTTTAATCATATGTCTAAGTGTTTGGATGACTACTCAAAGTCTCGAAGACTACCAAGCAAAAATCAACAAACTGGCTGAAGAAGCAGTGAAAACAGGACTCCAAGTGAACAGAGAGAAGACGGAAGTGATGATGATAACCAACGAACCGCAATAACAACAAACAGCATTAACTACCATTAATCGGGGAGATTTAACAGATGTTGCCCCCTTCACTTATCTGACCAGGAATGATCGTTTCAACTACAGGTAGTCGGAACGGACGAAGATGTCAAAGTTAGAATCGGAAGGGCAAGATCAGCCTTCATCAATCTGAAACTAGTTTGGAAATCTTCCGCACTCAGCACAAAAAAAAAGGATTCGCAATTTCAACACCCGTGTCCAGTCGATCCTTCTTTATGGGTCAGAAACTTTCCTTGCGTATGTGTCACGAAAAGGATTTCCAACAGGCCACTGCAGACTTTCATTAACAGCTTCCCTCTTCGCTGGCTCCATGCTGAAGATCAAATCGCCAGTCAGTCAGAAAGAATAAGCAACAAACAAACTGGAAACAAACCAACAAGCAAGGACCAATCGCTGAACAAATACGTAGGAGAAAGTGGAGATGGATCGGATGTACATTGAGGAGGCCAATGAATGAAATCGCACGCCAGGCCATTACTCGGGTGGAATCCGAATGGGACGTGACTAGTAGGTCGTCACTTCGAGGGTGACATGAAGTAGATCGTGTGAGGATGAGATTCAAGAGTTTGGTCAATCGTGGACCCAGCTGAAAAGGACGTCAGAAAACAGAACAAATTGGAGATGTGTTATTGACTTCAGGTGAACATAGATAAAACAGAGGTGATGAAAATTCCTGGGCAACACCACCAACAGCAACAACAACAACTGACAACAATCAGCATAAATGGGAGGAACCTGAAAGAAACAACCTCCTTTACTTCCTACCTGGGAAGCATTGTTTCAAATACAGACCAACGGAACTGACGAGGATATCAAAGCAAGAATCGGAAAAGAAAGACAAGTTTCACTACTCTCAAGTCTGTGTGGAGGTCAACAACACTCAGCATCAAAAATAAGATCCGAATTTTCAACTCCAATCTGAAGTCAGTGCTACTTACTATACGGATCAGAGACAGACTTGGCGCGTCATAAAGAGCATCTCAAACAAACTAAAGACCTTCATTAACAGTTGTCTTCGCTCAATACTCAAGATCAGATGGCCGGCCAGAAAAGATCAGCAACAGAGATCTCTGGGAGCGAACCAACCAGGAACCGATTGTGAAACAAATAGGCAGGAAGAAATGGAGATGGATTGGCTGGCCATACCCCGAGGAAACCATCAAGTGACATCACTAGACAAGCCCTCGAGTGGAACCCGAAAGGGAAGCGGCGAGTTGGTTGTCAGTGCAAGGGTGACTTGGAGGAGGTCATGTGAAGAGGAGATGAAAACGTATGGACAGACTTGGAGCCAGGTGAAGACTCTAGCAAAGAACCAAACGCAATGGAGACGCACGGCTGAAGCCCTATGTTCCTGTAGGAATTAAAGGATACAATAATAATAATAATGTCTCACTCCGAACCCAAGGGTACAATGATAATAATAACTCAAAGTCTCTGAGTACTTCTCAAAATAAATAAAGGAAAATACTATAGAGAACTGAATAATGCTTCATATGGAACAACACCGCGTCTAACGATGTATTACCAAATACTATTTTACTTGAAGACACTGTTTTCTAAACATTTTTGTTGTGCTCTGAAGTTTCTTTAGCGATTGCATTGATTTTTCGGAATAGGGTAGGTAACCTTGCGACTAAGCATCATTCTCATCATTCACATAAACTTGAAGACATATATGGCGAAAACCAACCAGCTGGCAGAAGAAACAGTAATCAAAAGACTTCAGGTGAACTGAGAGACGGTAGAGGTAAAGCAGAAACCCGCAGACCAACAACATCAAGCAGCAAGTTACTTCCATTCGCTTATCTAGGCAGCACCATTTTAATTACATGCAGCGCAGATGAAGACGTTGAAGCCAACCCGGGTTGTCAAAGCTGGACAGACCTTTATCACTCTGAGATTAGTTTGGAAATCTTTGAATTTTCAATGTTGGTGTTAAGTCAGTACTTATATGCGATTCAGAGACTTGTGGTTTCACGAAAAGCATTTCCAACAGGATACTTCACATTTTTTTCATTGCTGTCTTTGCTGCCTCGATAATGAAGAACAGATGGCCAGAATGAACTGGCAACAAGAAACACTGGGAATGCATGCACAAACCAGGAACCAGTCACCCAAAAAATATTCCAAAGAAAATATAGATGAAACAGACGCGCGCTGAGCAGACTGTTGACTGAAATCATGCGTCACTCCATCGGTAGAGTTAAACCCGAACGGGAAAGGACGAGTTAGGTGTGGTTCCAAGTGTGCCATGGAGAAGATCATGAGGTGGGGGGATGACAGTTTGAATAAAGCAAGAACAACACAGTGGCGGCGTATGCAAACTAATATGGTACCGTCATTGTTTATTTCGTTGGCTTCTCATCAGCTGACGCTCACAGCCTAAATAAAGTATGAGGTTTATGTACAGAAAAGTGTTAACATACTTGCAAGTTTTTCATGATGTCACTTGACAGAAGGTTCCGCAGTTAGTAAACAGTGCTCAGAAAACTGCGCTTACGTAGTTTCTACACAGACAGTTTAAGTCTAAACAAAATAAGTGTATGCATACAATGGTAAAGGAGTCACGTAATAAAGATGAGAGATGCGTAAGATGCTGTCAAAAGCAGTCAAAAGAGGATAGATACTCTTCTTTCTCATGTTAACTCCAACTGTGTACACAAATTTACGTGGATCTGCAGGAACAGTTACGTCGGGAGATCAGAGGGAATGGCACACCTCCAATTTTATGAACATGTACCGAAAAGTCTTCGTCTCAAGGGAAAAAACTAGCGCTATTATCAGACATCTCCTTGATACGTGTCATAAGGTGGAAAACGCGAAGTCCTTTAAAATTATCAATAGACAAAGGAGCTCGGTTCTCCTCAAGTTTGCTGAAGCAATTTCTATCAAACGCTTGAAACCAGATTTATGTGTGTTCAGAAAGAAGCATTTATTAGTCTTTCCATGCCCTGGTTACTGGATATCCTTATTCTCTCTTTCATTTGATTACATAATCTTTGTCTTTAACCTCATCCCCTCTTCTAATTTGTAATTCTTCCTGTCTCTCGTTTGTATGATTTGAGTTGAACTCAGTACATTGTTGCCCACACTCAGCATCATACTCATCTCTCGTCTTTACTACGTGACTCCTTTACCATTGTATGCATACATTTATTTTGTTTAAACTTGAACTTCCTGTGTGATAACTATATAAGCGCAATTTTTTGAGCACTTTTCATTAACTATGGAACCTTCTGTCAACTGACATCATCAAAAACTTGCAAGTATGTTAACACTTTTCTGTACATGAACCTCATAATTTATTTAGTCTGTAAGCGGCAGGTGAAGAGAAGCCAACGAAATAAACAGTGACGGTACCATATTATTCTGCACAAACCGCCCCCGAGTTGTTCTTGCTTTATTCAAACTGTCACCAAGGGGATAAATGCATGAAGATGACAGTTTACGGGAAATCTTGGAGTGAGCTAAAGAGAACTGAACAGAACAGAAGAAAGTGGAGATGTGCATTCGAAGCCCTAAATATTTATATACATTAGAACAGTGTATAGTAATACCAAGAGATTTACAAAAGAAAACTTGTGACTTACAGATTCGTGAAATCATGATTCGCAGTATCACTGCGTTGACTAACTGCTTGTATTGTACTATCCCGTCTACTTTGTAGCATCATTGAGACACGTCGAATCCTCTGTGTAAGTTCAGCATCACTACTAAGGCTTTTATTTTTCAAAGGTAAATTTGGTACATATAAGGAGATGACATTCGGTGAATCTGAGTGTTGCTTGTTAGCTACAGGATTCATGAGGTGATTTTGTCCATAACTGTGTATACTGTTGTTAGTATTATTATTGCTATCCAAGTTGACTGGATGACATTTGAAGAGGTCACCTTCTTTCTGTAAATAAAATAAATGAAATAACATTTAAAATTTAAAAGGGAAATGTTTACCCGGACTGTTGAAGTAAACTTCCTACTGACGGTTAGTGATTAAATAATAACACAACCTACCTTTTATTCAATAAGGAATATTACACGCAAATTGATGGTGTAGCTATGGGTTCCCCATTAGGTCCAATCCTAGCTGATTTTTTCCTCGCTAAATTAGAGAATGGATCACTGAAAGGAGTAATTAATGACATGGATTTCTACTGTCGATATATGGATGACATATTTGTGGTTATGAAAGACGAGAATGATGCAATGAATATCCTCGACAAGTTTAATGATGCACATACAGCAATAAACTTTACCATAGAGAAAGAAAGTAATGATGGCATCTAATTCCTAGACGTCTTCATGGCAAGGAAAGATGATGGCACATTAAGAACGAGTGTGTATAGGAAACCTACAACAACAGGTCAGTACACTCATTTTTTGAGTTTTGTACCTTTGAAATATAAACGTAACCTGGTAAAGTGTCTGGTTCATAGAGCCAGGTTATTCTGTTCAGACGACTGCATCAATGAGGAGCTTAAGATTATTAAAGAATTACTTAGAAAAAATGGTTATCCAGATAAATTCACTGAGAAAAATATGAATTCAGCACCTAGGAGAGTCAGTATAGCAACAGTTTCGAGAAAACCAATGTTCATAAAATTGCAGTTCCTCGGTGACAACATCAGCGAAATCATAACACAGCGCTTGAAGAATGCAGTTAAAAGAGCTTAATATGCAGCAGAGGTACGTTGTCTCTTTGAAACCGCCCCTATTCTACGTTCGAGAAATAAGGAGAAACTACCTAATTTTGCCTCTTCTATGTGTGTCTACCAGTTTGACTGCAGCTGCGGAGCCAGCTACATTTGGTGTACAATTAGGCAGTTTCATCGTCGTATTTCTGAACATTATCCAGCGTGGTTAAGCAAAGGACAAACAAGATCTATTCGTAGTTCTATTTTAGCACACCTTGTTGATACTGAGCACAAGGTTGATGTGAATACTGCATTTAAAATTATTTATCGCATTCCGACTAATCTTAACTTTGCTCTACGAGTTCGTCTTCTACAGACAGCTGAAGCAATGGGAATCCACCAGAAGAAACCAAGCCTATGTGTACAGAAGAAATTTGTACAGCCACTTTCCTTACGGTGGCCATCGTTACAAGACAGGACTACGTCGCCCCCCTCCCCCTCCCTCTAAACCTATTAAATTATAATTGTCCAAATTGTCTTATTTTATTTTGACCACTTCATCTTTATTTACGTGTTATCCTTGTAAAATTAATTTATTCTGACCATTTCTACCATTTAAATGTTTATTGATTTTCTTCGTTAATTATCAACCCGTTGACATTTTGACACTGTTGAATTATTGTTAACAAACATATCGCCACTTGATTCAAATGAACTGTCGTCAAGATTTGACAGAATAATTCTAAAATATTTGGGCGCCGAGTGAGAAGTAGACATTTGAACAAAAAAAATAATGTTTGTAAAATCTCAGCCAAATTGAAATGAATAGATTTCAACGTTTCTTGAGTTCACCAATTTGGTCTGAACTTCTTCGGGGAAATTAATCGAAATTAACATAACAGAGGTTTTATATATAAAAGGCACATCTTTTGTTTTTAAAAACTTTGTCCAATCATGATTCATAAACACAAGTATTAACAAGTATAATAAACAAAATTGTATGAGCTGTGATCAAAATTTGACCTCGGACTTACAAATATTGGTCTACCTTTGTTAAACACTTTAAACAGGGTGTGCATGCGTGTGTGTGTAAACAGTTGTAAATTGTTGTGTATTGTAATAAAAGTGCTATATATATTAGAGTAGAGCCAGAGAAGAGAATCTAATTGAAAAGTAAATATTTCTTCGCTCAATCTTGTTTTCAAATGGCTGAATGAACAATAACATTAGTCATTAACTAGAGTAATGTTCCAAATTCCTTGTTTGGTATAGACTGAATTCTATCATTCAGTCAAGCTTGCAACATGGTCACCATGCCACTAGGTGGCTCGTCATCGTGGCGTACTGTGAATTGTTGATATCAGATAGTTGGAGGCAATCGATAGGGGGCATTGGAAATCTAGGTTTCGTGTTAGTTAGCACTCACCAGTCAGGAAAGCCTATCTGCAGGCTTGGGGGAACCCATGTATCCATCAGTGCTGTAGTCGGAGACGTTACCACTGAGCTATTCAGGCTCGCAGTCGACCTCCTGAATGACCTCCCGAATGAAAAAATGCTGTCGTATGGACAATTAATGAGGCATAAAATACAATGTTATATTTCATAGTCTTTTATGTCATACACGAGATCATCACTGTGTCAACCTGATGAAACCCACATTACCTTATCTATGTCTTTGTGCTTGTACACGCTGCCTCCAATCTCTCTATACAGAATGACAGAGTGACTAACCTCACACTAATTTGATAACTGCAGTTGTTTCGTTTGTGTGCTGTCATGCTGAGTGAAATTCCAGTAAATTTTCATTTTGATTTTCAATTACTGAATTGAACTCACACAATCTTACTTCACTCTTTAACCCCACCACCTTCCTCTTGAACTCTCTTTCAAATTATGTATAAATTCACTCTGTTGTTCGATCTTGTATTTTGTCTGTAGACATTTGTGCAATTATATTGAATATACTCTCTATCTATAACTTGAAGTCACTATAAAAAGCATGTTTAAACACGATTTTGTGACTAATAATTGATTTACTCAGAGTGTACGCAGTTGAAGAGGGAGAATCCACGAAATAAAACGAGCTCATACTACCCTGTCTGCAAATATGTTTTCTCTTCCTTTGTCCAAAACTAATAAAAGGAAAGGCCTGCATGAGAGTGTGCAAACAGTTCATCGTTTCGGTTCATTTCATGATGAGTTTTCTTATTGTGTTGTCTGCTGTTAGTTTGGGACTTCACTCGTGTCATACATTAGCCTTTGATGGTCCCATTTAGGTCCTGTCTACTACTCTTCATAGTCATCTAGACAAATCCTTTATCTTCTCTCGGTCTTTGTTGCGTTATTACAATTATTCCCTTGTGTTACTAGTAGAACACAGGGCTGAAACAGCATATATTTACTTCGTCCTATTCTTCACAGACCTCTCTAACTGAACGCAAGATTGCTTATAGGCTGTCATTTTCCCTTCACACGATCGCGTCCACGCCATCTTCGAACCAACGCCCAACTGATCATCTCCCATTCCTGTTCCATTAGGCAGACGGCCTAGTACGCGATGTCACCTAACAGTTCCCTCAGCCTGTAGCTTACCCGTCTCTAATTTCGTCAACATATCAGTCTGACGATATGTTCTTGATTGGTTCGCTCCCAGAGTTTCTTGTTGCTGATCTGTTCTGGCCATCTGGTCTTCAATATCGGGATAGCGGAGACAGCTGTTGGTAAAAGTGTGAAGTATTCCGTTGGAAATGTATTTCTTGACGCGAGTGTCGAGCCTATTGATGTCGAAAATCCAAATCTTGTTCTTTATGGTGAGTGCAGAAAAATTTCCAAACTGATTTCAGAATGATAAGGGTCTGTCTTTTCTTTTTCAGTCTGCACCGTCGTTAACTGAACAGGTGCTTCCTAGATAAGTGAATGTAGTAATCTCTTTCAAATTTCTAACCGTTGATAGTGATTGCTGCTTGCTCGTGTTGTTGGTTGTTTGATTGGTTAGTTATTTTCATTACCTCAGTCTTCTCTATGTTCACTTTAATTCCTGTTTTCGCTGCCTGCCTCTTTTACCAGTTTGTTGGTTTTCGCCTGTAAGTCTTTGGGTTTGTGTGATATTGGGCATAGATCGCATGTGAAGTTCAAGTCTTCTAGACTCTCCTTACCGGTCTGACGGTTCACCTCAATTAGGAATAACCCCAGTGATAGTAGGCAGCCTTGCCTTACTCCGGTTCTCTCTTCAAATGCTTTGTGGAATTTTCACTTGTGGATCACTTGGTATGTGGCATCATTATATAGCTGTTGCATGCGGTTGATAAAAATTTCGTACATTCCGTAATATTGGAGTAGTTACCAGATCACTTCCCTATCTGTGCTGTTACAGGCTTTTCAAAGTCACTGTAGTTAAGGAAGAGGTTTGACTGACATCCAGTGATCTGTCTGTCTGATGAAGATGTGTGAAGTTACAATTTCTTGAGCACATGATTCGCTTTCCTAAATCCAGCTTGTTCCCAGGTGGAGTTCTGCATCCAGTGCAGTCACATAACTAGTAGTCTTAAACCGTTAGATCTTAACATACTAAACGCCACAGCTAGTCACCTAGTCTATCTACACCTCCTTATATGGCTCAAATCAGCCGCCAAACACTCCATGGATTCACAACATATTTTCATTTGAGCATCACTGGCTATTTTTCAGCAGTTAATATTGCTTTTTGAGAAAGGCGAACAGCTTTGTTTTATCCACTTTCACCAACCAAGCATATCACGTTAACACCAAGCACGTCATCAGTAGCCGACTTGCCGAAAAAGACTGAGCATTTCGATACAATACAATTAATTTCAATGGAAAAAAAGAGGAGATGCTTGAAAAGCCGACAAGTCGTTAGCTAGCGACTGATTTTCTTTTTGACAGGAAATGACAGGAAAATAAAGAAAAAAAACGGAATTTGTAGATCCTTAAGGCTGAGTCTTGAAAAAACTTGAAACTATTTCTAAACAGGTTGTATGTAGTATGCTTATAAACACTCGATACTATTTTGTTGAACACAATTTGAGTGAAAACTACATGAAACAGATGGCGATAAGTCTTGGTAGTTGTAGTCGCAATAATAAAAACATAACTATTTATACTGTCAATGACTTTTTAAATTCAATTTTAGATTTTCCCGTCAATTGATTGGACTGAAGTGCTCGGTCTAAGGTTGACATGTCGGCTTCTTGTGCAGATGCTTAGGCGATGTCTGGGCATGCAATTAGAATTGAACTGGTGGTTGTTG